GAAACAGAAGTATTTTTACCGTGGTCGTCTGGACTGGGACGAGAGCTCCTCAGCAGGGAAATATGTCAGAGAAAATTGCAAACCTTTACGGGTAAGAAAGGTGGATTGGGGATTTGAAATTAGGAAATACTAAAATAAGCAGGGCTTATGGTGAAAAGAGTGAAACACCTTTGGAACTTAAGTGTGTTCTATTTTTAAACTTGAGCTCTCTTGGAAGTCTGCCAGTATTTATCTTAATCGCTTCTTGTTTCCACTCTTAGCGGTACTTGCTGTCGGAGGCAGAGGAGCACCACCAGCTGTTTGACCTCGTTGAAAGCATGTTGGAGTACGAGCCTACTAAGAGACTATCATTAGCCGACGCCCTAAAACACCCTTTCTTTGAGAATGGGGGGGCCAGTGAGGCAGCAGGCAGCAAGAGCTGGGAGGGAAACCGGGACATCAGCCGGTGACCCACGAGCCTCCTAAGACTGAATGACAGAGGAAATAAAGTCTTTCTATAAGCGGAGCAGATGAAATGTTTCTCATTAAAGCATGGACACTTGAACTTCCTGCTCGGCCACCCTGCCACTCTGACATCCACCTCTGCAGCCACACGAGGCATGTTATTGCAGCTGAGAGACCGCCACCTAACCTTGAGAAGAGTCAAAAAGGAATCTTTTATTTTGGCCTCAAAGTAGCCCTCTATGCAGCTCCTGTCTTCCTTCAACTTCTGAACACCTTCCTTCCATCCGTCCATATGTTTGTTTCATCAGCATGTGAAAGAATTATTCATTTTCTGAGGAAATGAGCAAACTGCAAAGTCAGTTATACTACGTTTTTTAAAGGAAATGTCCTCCAATTCTGAAATGTAAGCAAAGAGTAAAACGGAGATGGAGCTGTATATGCAATGTAGGTCTTCACCCAAGTCCTTTTGAACATGGAGACATGCAAAATACTCGATTATGTTACATTATATAATTCAAATTGAATATTTTATTATCTTGGAAATTGTGTCTCAAGTTTTCAAAGTGAGAACTTGCATTGCATATAAATTTTGTTGTTTCTTTTTTTATCTATAAAAGGATTATCTCTGATGTGGAGACTCTTAATCCCCGGTCTGCAGGCCTGCTATAACTTGCCAATGAGATGATAATGGTGATGGACACTCCACACTCACAGGCCTCTTTGGTCTGTCCTATTCATAGATATATATGTTTGTTACGATATGCTTTCTGGGTGTGAGTGAGTATGTGTCTGTGCAGGGGTGGGATGGTGTGGGTGACACATTTATGTTCATGTTTTGCTTCTTTGTAGTTCAGGTTAGACATGGAAACTTTCTCACACACTTTTAAAGACATGAAAACATAAACTGCCTTTTCCTTCGAGGTTAAGCACACAGCTTCTGGTGGTAGTCAGCGAGCCACACACAGCTCCTGTTGATAGTATTTATTTTGAGTTGCAGTAGGTCATAGTCTCCACCCCCCACCTTGTACATGACTTTTTTTTGTATGAAATTAAAGCGTATAAAACTGTATATATGTAACATTGTGTAGAATTAAAGTTAAGTCCTCCTTGCCAGAGGCTTATGGTGCTCTCGGTATCGGTTTGGGCCTCTGGTAGGTGAAGGGAGGTGATCTGTCTTTAAATACCTCGTCTGAGTCTGCGTCTCTTAGCTTACTTTGTAATACTGCTGGAAGATGTGCAAAATCTGATGACCTGGAAAAGCCTCAGTCAAAGTCAAACATGGTGTCTACATTTTTTTATTTTATGTTAGCTCAATTAGTGGAAGTCCATTGTAAGAAGACAGATCAGGTCATTAAAATAACGCCATGGTTAATATTTAGGAGAAAAAGCTTGAATCTCATATTATGGCTATGATTAATTTTACTTCAATTTCAGAATCATGACTTCATCACAGACCATTTTTGCCTTTATTGGACAGGGCAGCTGAGTGGAGATGTGAAATACTTGGGGGGCGGGTTGACATGCAGCAAAGGGCAGACTCTTCTGCGACTATAGCCTCTGTACATGGGGATCTGGTCACCAGGCCAAAAGTCACAAACATGACTTTTTAACTCATGACTTGTTTACAATTTTGACTTTTATCAATTGTACCTCCCCAATTTTAAAATGTCTGAGCTACTCACCATTGGTTTATTTCTATCAAGTTAATTACGCTACATTTTCATCTTCTATTTCCACTGGCAGAAATGGGCATCCAACATTGGCTAACTGCTGTTATATCCCTTCAACCCCCTAAGCTCAGCTGTCATGCTGTCAGGACAGGAAGAGGACGGATGATCTGCTGACACAGGTGCAGGTGTGTCCCTGCTTCGTCACACAAGCTTCCCCCACCTGTTGGTAAGGTGCCAGTGTACTTCATTTACCTTGAGTCACTACTCAACCCTGACCCCGTTCTATCTTGTAGCAGAAAAGGACTCCGCAACACGAGGACTACTGAATTATTGGGGGACCACTACAACTTAGAAGTTGAAGTTGAATTGACAAACACAAGTGCAGGGACCTTGGAGGTTCTTTGCCAGCTGAATAAACTAACCTTAAACTGTGTGATCTGATGTTTGAGCAGATATGGTAGAGTACAACTGAAGAATATTGTGCAGAGTTGCAGTACAGTTAAAATGTACAAATGTAGGATTGATGATTATATTTAGAATTCACTTAAGTATTCAAGCCAGGGGGTTTGTGGTAGTGCAGAGGGATTGGGCATCTCAAGGCCTGGATTCAATTCCAAGTTGAATGAAATGAGTCATTAAGTTTGTGAATCAGGTGTCTCCAGTCAAGGAAGGTGAATGGCACTGAATTTAGAAGCGAAGAAATCCTCACTGCGTCACAGAAACCGCACCAATTCAGTCTGTTATGCTCTATCTGCCCCCAATTTGTTTCTCCAATGCTCTCATCAAGGTGTCACTTCAACACCAAATATGTGTGATTTACTGCTGAACTGTGTGATTTTTAACAATGTCTCTGAAGTCCAGCATCTGAAGAAGTCAAACTCGTGTGTATGAGCTGTTTCTGTTCTCAAATCTAAACCAGCAGCTGTTGTCCTGTGCAGGTTTGTTTGGAAACCCTCTGCTGTTAATGAGATAAACGACTCGTGCGTCGTCATTTAATCCTGTTTGAAGTCCAGAGAGGTCAGCGCTCAGATCCCCATAAGAGCAGACCGACACAAAGCAGAGGTGTTTACAGGTACTCGACCTGAAGCACTAGAAGCAATGCAACAAACGGACTACGCTTCGCAGCTTTGACAAATGACAGTATCAACTGGTGTTTTCTACTGCTAAAACAAACACAGGTGAGTCCCGTTGTTTTCTTTAATGCATGTACAGTATATTTTGTTCCTGGTTTAACTGGTCTGACTAATAGCAAAGGTAGACAGTTTGATGGTGCTTTTGTTTTTCATTCATATTTAAGAAAAACGAGAATAACGAGCTGTAAATTCACTGTTAATCTTTTTCTATTTTCAGATTAAAGCCTAATTTTTCTCCTGAGAATTAAAATAAGACTGGCAACAACTTGTGATTTTCGTCATGGATTCGCTCATGTCACTCGGTGCCCCCCTGAAGCAGTTCACCAGCTGTGTGTCGGGGAAAAACACCGCCGCCAAGAGGAGCCAGTCTGTCCGCAGAAACAGCTTCACCCGCAGGAAGAGCGTCAGCAGGAGGAGAAGCCTTCCCTGCAGCAGCCAGAAAGTGCCGGACTCCTGGCTGCGAATGTACCAGGCTGATCTTAAGAGAGAGAGGTAGGCGACATCGCCTACCAAAAAGAAAAACAGACTTTTTTCTTTACTGTTGTTTTTCTATTTGTTTCAAAGTGAATGACTTAAAAAAAAAAAGAAAGAAAACAAATTATCCAGCTGACGCTTTTAGCCAGAGAGACTGGGCTTAATGAGGATAAAGCTGTTCCTCACATGAATAAGCTGCTTGTCCACGTGCTGTACCTAATGTTGCTTCTGTTTGTGTTTTTCAAAGGAAACGACAACAAGCCATCCTGGCCAAGAAGAACGCAGAAAGATCAGTTAGGAGAACTCACTTTAGGAGCCACCACTGCCTCCCAAGGGTGAGTTAGTGAGCTGGAAAATCAAACAAGATTTTTAATTCTTTTATTTTGGTCTGTTAGTGTTTTTACGTCATATCATCTCCCTCTCTGTTCCATACGCAGCACAAAACAGGAGCCAGAAAAGCAGCCCCAATGAAGGACGATTCCTTCTTCGGAGCCTTCCAAGGCCTCAGCCTGGACGGCCTGATGGGAGGCAGTAATGGATCTTCTGCCGTAGCTGCTCCTTCTGCTGCAGGTGGAGATGCATGCAAAGTCATGTGAGACCTCATTGGAGGACAGATTGTTTAAATGATCCATTACATCTAAAGACTTGAGGATTAAAAGGCTCATGAAGGAAAAGTGACGAGACAGAGGCTGAAACCTTTCAGAACCAAAGAAAAGTATTCTACTGTTATTTCTTCAGATCTTGTTCTTTTTAGAGATGTTAACGTTGATTGCACTTGACTCTTTGATTGTTTCTCAGATTCTTCTTTGTATCCATCTTTGCACTTTTTTCTGTATTTGTTGTTGTATATGAATGATATCAAAATGATTAAATCTCTGCTGACACCTCCCTCTATGATTGCAGTTGTATTCATCCAGTGTTCAAAACTAAGTATGTAAAAGTATTTTGTTCTATTCTTTCAAAACAACAAAACTAGGTGATTATTTGCATCAAACACCGGTCCTGTGTTTGGTGTTTTATTGGCAACATTTTAATGAATACACGTAAGACATGCAGGACTAAGGTGGATATTGAAACATGTTAAATATCTCAATGTTTTCCAGTTGTGCTCTGACAGCATGTTCCTGTGTAAATCTAAGACAGTGTACTATTGTTTTGGTAAAGTAATGTTACTACAACCAGATCTTTTAAAAACAATAATGCCACATATCTGAGAATATATCCTCAACAACACCTATTGTCCTTTTCTGCTAGTTTGAACTCAGCTTTTTAAACCACCTTGCTTTCAAACACAAAGCTTTATTTAGTTAAAAAAAAAGGTCAACAAAAATAAAGACAAATCACATTTTCCTCACCAGTTACAGAAGTGGAAGATACATGGTGTGTCTCTTGATCTCTGGGTCCAGATCACAGATATGTACAATAGAAAACCGAGTACAAAACTACGATTTCCAGGGACAACATGAAGAAATATGGTCTGTTGTGAATCCTGACGACTGGGTGATAACTGCACAGCTGACTGCAGACGACAAGGTGAGGACATAGAGAACTTGTTTTGTTTTCTAACAGTGAGTTCAATCTAATAAAAGTTCTGTTTTACAACATCATTCCCTCTGTTCCATCTTGACTTTCGGAGGCTTGAGGAAAGACCTGTTTTTTTTCTCTTTGGTCTTCTTGCCTTTAGCCTGGAAGGTCCTCCAACTGTCCACACGCCCATCTCTTGTTTCCTGAGGGAAAAATAAATCAAATTAAGCCAATACACGTCATCTGATTTTTTAATTGAAAATCCTGTGACCATGACGACAGGGAGGAACCCACCTCAAAGTTTTTCTGCCATTCTCGGTCTCGCTTTGCCTTCTCGGCGACCTCAATTTCTTCCTCTCTTGCTCTTTTCCTGGTATTATGAGAAAAGTTTTTAAAAAATCAATGTCTTTCAAAATAAAAGCATCTTTTTCAGTTTGAATTGTGAGATGTGTAATGACACTTTGATCAGACAGAATTTAAGTTTACATACACTGAAAATGAAAACCAAATGGCGAAATCCATTTTTTACAAAAGGAGTGAAGGGCTTTACCTCTCATGCATGTCCTTTGCTTCCCTTTCCTTCCTCTTGATTTCAAGTTCTGCAAACAGCTTCATGGTCTGTTTGTAAACTGCTTGCCTGAACTTGAGAAATAAAAAAGAAAATCAAACATAACCCTAACGTTAATGGACATATCTGTAACAAAGTTGCCTTATAAACATTGTGAAAAACATTTAAATTGAAAACCAATCACATTGAAGGGATTTAAGTAAAAAAAGAAAAAATATATATTTTCTTTTCAAATGAGTATTGATCCCACTGCATGTCAAATAACACTGCATTCAAAACATTATAACTAAAAGATCTGTTCAATCCAAATATTTGTCGATTTCTAGGAGAATTTAAATATTGTATCTTTATGCGAGTGTAGATTCAATTTCACGACATGTTTCTACGACTTTGACTTACCATCTCAGGGTCGTCCTCCTCCACGTCCTGTAGTTTCCCATCCTTCTTCAACTGTTTCTTTTTCTCCTTCACCTGACGGAGAATGGCAGAAAATAAAAGGTTACCAAACAAATACAGACCAGGAGAGCTCAGTAACAGAGGCATGATGTTTGTACCATATGCTCCACATATTCTATTCCTGCATGGATCACATCTAAGGCTCTCTTCTTCTGGTCCGGTTCAAGAAGGAGTTTGTAGGCCTTGTCCACAGCTGGAACACAGTCAAGACACAAGACTGGAATAAAAACCTGACACATTTATTTTTCATCGACTGACACAAATGCACACAGACAGTCGCTTTAATGACTATAAATAACTTTATTGACATCGTGAAAAAAACACAAACTGGGCAGCAATTACCTTCAAAAGCTTTCTGTGCTCGTTCTTGATCATCCTGGTTTTTATCTGGATGGACCAAAATAGACAACTGCATGGTAAGAGAGAGAGGACAGGGTTTAGATATTAAGACACAAACAAATGCTCTACACAGCATACAAACAAAAGTCACGTCTTTTCTTTTGAATTCTTACCGCACGAAATCTCTTCTTTAATTCATCATCTGTTGCCTCTGGGTCAATTTGCAGCACCTGAAATGATGCAAACATTGTGAGGCTTCTTTCACAGGAGTATCTTATCCAAAGTGCTGATTGAGACATCTCTGAATTTTAAATACAGATAGATAGGTGCTTTATTGTCATTGTATAAAGCTAAAGACCCAGCTCTTTCATGAATACCTACTAACTTAATGATGATGGTCTCCATATTATTGATGATGATGATGGTAATGACGATGGTTTTTGTTTGATAACAATGACTTATAAGATGGTTTCTATACTGATTAGAGCTCTCAAGAACTGCCCTCAATGTTGTGCTTTGCCTCTGGTCACTTCCTGTCAACACCTGTGTGTCCAATCAGACTCAAAGCTGATCGTTTGCTCTTACTGACATTGTTCCCTTTCTTCTAGATCCTTGCTTGTGTTGTTCTTACTCTCTGATGTACGTCGCTTTGGAGAAAAGCGTCTGCTAAGTGAATTGTAGAATTGTAGAATTGTATTTAGAAACACAACAAAACTTTGTAGGCAGCAATCCTGTACAGCAGCATATTGGTCATATATATATGCAAAGTTATATACAACCTTTATACAATAAAGGTTGTTCTGGATTGAGAAGTAGAACTAAACTACTAAACTAAACTAAAAACTATAAATAAAAAAGCAGACATAAATAAAAACATTTGTGCAGTGACTGGGTCAATAAATAAACTGTTATAGTGCATCGACTGAATTAGTGTATACACAAGGCATCTTTAAAACATATAGGTACCAACAGCAGACCCTTGTACAGCTTTAAAGATGTGTGTACTTGTACAGGTATTTGACTGTAGTTCAAATAGCATGTTAATAGTTAACCTCAGTCCTGTTGACAACAGCTGCTGCACTCACCTCAAAAGGATTGAGATTGAAGTAGGACGAGCCAGGTCTGAGCAGTCTCTCAATCTGCTGCTTAGATGTTAACACAGAGTCTCTCTTTTCGATCTGCTTCACCTATCAAACACATGAAGACGTTCAGCATTCAATCCAAACATCCATCTTAGCTGCAGGTTTTCAGGTTCAGGCACTTGTTAGACAGCTAGCAGCACCTGCTCTGTGAATAATTCATCATTATCAAACTGTGATTCAGCCAAAGCGACTTGGTGACGTTTAGCAACCAAAAGATGGTCTTTAATGGGGGTCTGGTAGCTCGAGAAGGTCGAAAGAGCTTATAAAAAAAAACATCCCAGTAAACGTTAGCATGTTTCGTTAGCCCATGCTAACGTCTGTGAGGCCTTACAGGTGATAAACTCAGGACTCGTTTAATCACCGAGTCCAGCCGATCGACGAAGAGCAGCACACACTTTCAAACACACCAAATCACATCCATTTTATCGTACCTCCGTGATGAAGGTTTTAAATAATTCATCCGACATGTTCGGAGTGGAAGGCTCTCCTCCGGCGGCCGCCATCTTCCCCCTGGTTTACATGTGACGTAGTAGCGTGACGTAGAAGCATCACGTGACCACACAAGTTCAATTTAATATTTTATTGTCTTTGCTACATCAAGTTTATCAGTGCTTGCTCCGAAAACTACGAAAACAAAATACTAACGAATATATTAACGCGAGACTTTGTAAAGAATGATGTATACTGAGCCAATTAATGGAAAAGCTTTAAATTTAAAGGCTAGAAACTGAAATAGATCGTGTGAATGTGCTCAAGCAGCATATTCATATTGCCAGTTAAGGAGGGGGGGTGCTTTATTTGTATTTCCCCATTTCTTCTCACACACACACACAGAATTTAATTCCATATAGTTTCATTATTTACACAGAAAGAAAGAGAGTGAGCTAATGATACCGCAACCACTTTTAAGGACTCCTAAGACTGTATTTTAGTTTGATAATAGAAAATCATCCCAAAAAAGGAACTTTGAAGTGAGTCTCAGTTGCATCTAATTTCGGTTAAACTTCCTTAAGTTTTACTAATAACTAGCCAGTCTTCTTGCTGTACAGATTTGAGAGTTTGAAGTGTGACAGCTACTAAAATGATCTTTATTCATGCACTCAACTTTACCTTTCATTTAACCTCAAGGAGGGAGGGGGCGTCCATCCAGAGCCCCCGAGGGACCACTGCAACAGTGAAGGGCTCTACGTCGACCCATTATATTTACACCCTCAACTCATTTCATCTTGTTATATAGTTTGCAATAAGAAACGATTTATCAGTGACTGTAGAGTAAACTAACCTTCCATTGTGAAGACCCATACTAATAAAAAGTGCTGAAGATGTAAATTTGAGAAAATGGCTGTAATGTTTGTTAATAAAAATAGCACTACTTATAAAAAAACCTGTTAAACTACATATACAGAAAATCACACAGATTGTCTTTGTTACAAAAGTTGTATTTAACAATTACATGCAACATATGCTCCTTCACAGTAGCATTTCTTTAAACGGAGTTAAAAAGCAGCACTCAGCTGGATGGAGCTTTGGATCACATGTCCATCATCTGCACCCTCCTGCGCTTCTGCATGAAACAGAAAAGACAAGAAACATTTAAATATTGACATTTCTTAAAGCTAGATTTGTTTACAGCGTTTCTGTTCCAATCTTAAACATCGAATATTATTGTGACATGATAAATAATAAGACAAACTGGTGAGAGTAATACTAGCCGAAGAATCTTCAGATATGATCAGCTGCACTAATCAACACTAATCTCATACCTGTGTCCGGGTAGACAGCTAGAGTTCCCCTGAGAGCTGGACCTCAACTGTCTGGTCCTGTAAGTAGGTCATTCGTCATTCTGAGGGTTGTAACACCTTGTGATGGGAACGGCTCGAACCTTGTGGAAAACAGTCTGCTTTAGAGCTAGAAAAGGCCACACAGACATGGGCATGTTAATAAATATGGGTCAAGCAGTTTCTTCTCATCACAATGAGTATTTACACCAACAGCAGGACCAAACTGGAAAATAGTGATGCCTATGATGGAATACATCAGTGATTAAAATAAGGCCAGATTTGTGACTTAAAGCTGAATAACACAACTCACAGAAGTTACTGCTAAGTTACTGTAAGTTACTTACTGGAATCACAGCGAATGGCAGGACTTAAAAAAAAAAATCTATGTAAAACTTAAATGACAGTAACAGGTCGACACTTTCTGAGCATTAGTTCAGATAAAGAACAATCTTACCCATCAGTCCCCTCCATTTGTGTGAACTCATTCACATGGATGGGGGCAGCTCCTTTACTGCCTGGTGACAAGAGGCAACATATAAAAGACACAGTTCTGATATGAGAAAAGGAAAAAAAATACTCAAGCATATAATGGCACTTCAAAATAAAACAAAGTTCTTGTGTCAATTGATTCAATCAGCTTTCTGCTCAGTACAGTGCTCTTTATTTCACTCTTACCTGTGCATAATAAATACTGAAGCCCATCTACTGCCATCTTGTGGTTTTGATGGGTACTAACATCAGTTTTCAGGCAGTCTTTGTTCCATCATCAGCCAATTAAGCCAATATCGAATCAGAATCCCCACAGCTATTGACGTTTATTTGAAACACAGATCCCCAACTTAATATCTTACAATTTATAAACACCTTCCCAACTCGGAAAATGGAAAATGGCCAATGAATGCATCGTCGAGTAAGGCAACAATGGATTACTAGTCATGCTTGTGTGGAACTGCTACCTCTAGCGGTGTAGGGGGGGAACCACCGCTCCGTTCACAGAATTTCTGCAGACAGCTGATTTGGTGCAGCAGGCCAAGACAGGCAGCAGGTATTTGCAGGGCTAACAAAGTCATGAATTGTCAAGAAATGTGCTGGCAACAGAACTAATTTTGCTATTTCTAAATATCCTTCAGTCAACTTTGGTAATTTTGCTCTGGCCTGGAAAAAAAAAATGTAACTCCTACAAAATAAAATTAAAGCTTGATTTTTCTTGAATTATTGAGAAAACAATAAAAAGAAGAAAGTATAATTATGGCTTATGTTTCTCCAGTGATTACAAATAGCCAGAGGAGAGGAGACAGTACTCTGTGCAAGGCTAGCTCACCCTTGAGTACAGTTCAGGTGAGTTCCTCATTCTAGGGGTGCCGCTCTCAATGCTTCTCCACCTAGGCAGGTTGGAATAAGAGGACAGACACATGAAACAAAAGACAATGATACCATGGCACCAAAACGCAGGATGCTAAAAACACTTAGTAAACAAACTAACAGGTGGTCACTTGCTATGTTTTTAAGAATTTTAACCCTTTGGACTGTCAGATCCTTGGTGCCGTTAACAAGGAGATACAGATGGTTAAAATGAAATGGAGATTAAAAAAAAATAATGAATTGAAAAATACAAAGCCTTTCGAAGTCAAATCTGTTTCAGGACCAGACCATAGCAGGTGACATCTTTCCATTATCCAAGATTGTCAAAGTCTTTTTGTGAACAGGTAAACAAAGTTTATGCTTCAGTGGATTGCAAACACACAAGCTGCATGAGATTAATATCTGAAATAATGCATCATCCATAATAATAATCCATATAAGTATGCTTTAAAAATGGATCATTTCATGGTCCAGAACTGTAAATTAAAAACAAAATGTTTCTGTGGCTAGATCTGAAGGATGAGTTATGACAGGAGCCACATGAAGCAAAGTCTTAGTTAAAGTTTTTTTTTTTTTTTTACATGAAATATTATTTTCTAAAAGATGGAGATAAATTATAGGAAGCACTCAATGTACAGCAAAAGTTTACCTGTGCACAAAAAACATGTAAAAACAGGTACAATCTTGTGCAACGCAAGAAGTCAAGTTTAAGTTTGGTCCTTGAATATCCACTATATCAAAGCTGTAAATGGCTGGAGCTTGATGTAACATGCGCTGAAAATTAAAGGGTTAAAATCCTTGTACCGTTGTCTGATTGCACAATTTCAGTTATTCTTTTGATTGCCTTATGAAGCAAAACTATTTGACTTGAAAACGATGATCTTCACTCAAATAAGAGAATTGAGATAGAAATCAAATCAAATATTTAATGACAACACTGAATTTGAGTATCTGACAATTGACTGATGCTCAGCTGCGTTTTATTGAAACGGAACAAACGTAAAAGTTATAAATACAAAGAACATCAGAGAACAAACTGCTATGGCTCTTAAGGTAAGCCAAACCAAATTCTATTGGGCAAGTTCAAAGAAAACATAGGAAGTTATGGTATAAGTTTAAAAAAACACAATTTGTCTAACTCTAGAAATGCTAGGCATACACTTTAAACATTACAAAACGTGATTTCTTCCTTCCTGTGGATTCTTTTCTCCACCATTGCAAAAAAATGAAGTATGAAGCTCTAACCATATGCATTTATTTACAAGCAAGTCCCTAAGCAACTATGAGAAACCACAAATAAAGGGAGTACAAGAAGGGGAGGGAGGAAAGGGGCATGGAAACAAAACTTCCTGCAAGGCAAGTATCATTATTTAATGTCCTCTCAGACTTATGAATGTCCACTTTTTTTTGTAAATGTTCATGGTTGGCTTTAAAAGAATCAGGAAAAAAATGTAACAATAAAAGTGTTTTGTGTGGTTTTTTTAAAGACACATGTCCCAATGTAACCGTAGGAGTAAGAAATGATTCACAACAACGGTTACGTTCACTTCTTCAGCCAAAAGGCTTTGCAGCCAATCACGAGCCAATTCTGGGGTCTGTCCATTTTTTTTAGATATATGTACAGATTTTTTTTTCATGAGGGATGAACAATAAAAAGTCAATCAAAAAATTGTGGCCAATCTCCATTTTTTTTTCTTTTTGTTGTTTTTCTCTTTTTTTTGTTGTTGTCACTTTGTCAAATACCTTTTGGTGGATCTACTTCCATTGCTGCCCATAAGAATCCTGTGAAAACTCCATGGTGTCATTACTGTAACCATAGTTACCAGAATAGTCGGCCCCTTGCTGCAGGGGCTGCTGGGCGATGGGCTGGGACCCCCAGTTCTGTTGGTTGTTGGTCTGGCGGCGCTTGGAGTCAGGCTGGTTAAACACGTCTGCCTTCCTCTTTCCGCCGACGTTGCCCCCACGATTGCCCCTCGCCCCACGAGGACCACGGCCCCTCTGCGGCTGGAAAGGGGCTCCCCGGCCTCCTCGGCCACCCCTCGGACCACCGAGGGGCGGCCCTCTTTGGGCATACCCACCACGGCCTCGTGCTGGTGGTGCTCCACGGGACCTAGGTGGTGGAGGTCCCCCCCTATTTGGACGAGTACCACGGCCCCTCATGCTGTACACATCTTCGTAGCCATAATAAGGGTCTTCATAACCACCACGGTAGTCATGATAGTCGTAGCCATAGTAGTCATCATAGTAGTCATCGTATCCATAGTAATCTGGAGGATACGCATAGCCCCCTCGGCCACCGCGGCCCCTGCCACGGCCTGGTGGGGGCATGCGTGGAGGTGGGTAATAGTAGTAGTCATCATACCTGCAAAGGGGAGGACAGAGTTAGAATGAGTGAAATCA